AAGCACCCTTACTGAGCCATCTTCTTGGCCCATGAAGGATTTTAAGTAGTTTTGTATTTCTGAATGAAGAGTCTGATGATTGTATAGGAAATGTGTGCAAAGCTGTTCATAAAAGGCAATGAGGGCCTTGACGGAGACAGCAAAAATGAACATGAAAAGAGGGATTTAGAACCATAACAGAATATATAAGACTTAGTGTGCTGCTTGTGTTGGGGAGGACAGTGAAGTACATGAATAGGAATCAGATGACCAAGGTCCTCAGCCTAAGTGACCAGAGTAGGGAGTTGGGCTGTTGACTGAATAAGGGAAGTGATAAAGGCTTGGTAATCTAGAAATGTGATGCTCAGTTTGGACTGTGCAAAGTGCATACGGGAGATCCCAGGTGATGACTGTTTGTCACACAGGCTATAAGACTAGAACTTGGAAGAGACTAAGTGTGACAGCCAACTCATGGAGTTTACAGAGCAAGAATTAAAAGGCCTGTGAAAGTTGGAGAAATAAGGGAGGAGGGTTTCTTAAGAATGTGGTATATAGCTGGGCATGGTGGCACACACCTTTACTCCCAGTACTAGGGAGGCAGAGGCAGGCGGATCTCTGTGAGTTTGAGGTTAGCCTAGTCTACATAGTGAGTTCCAGGCCAGCTGGGGCTAAAAAGAATGTGGTATATAGCCGGACATGGTGGCGTGCACCTTTAGTCCCAGCACTCGAGGCAGAGGCAGGGTATGCGGGTCTCTGTGAGTTTGAGGCCAGCCTGGTCTACAGTGAATTCCAGGCCAGCTAGGGCTACAAAAAAAAACCCTGTCTCAAAATAAGAATGTGGTATGTCAACATTGTTGTTAGGTTGAAGATTTGAGGCATTGGGAAATGGCAATTGGAGGCCCATTATTAATGCACTTTGAGAAAAGCTACAGCAGGACAAGGGGAGACAGTAGAAATGGCAGCAGAGACTGGCTCTTCCCAAAGCACCATTCCTCATTAGATAATAAAGAGATTGACTTGATTTGTGTAAAAGCTTAAAAAAACAGTTTAGTGGGGTTGGCTCAGCGGTTGAGAGCACTGACTGCTCTTGCAGAGGACCTAGGTTCGATTCCCAGCACCCACATGGCAGCTAACAACCATTTGTAACTCCAGTTCTAGGGGATTTGATGCCTTCTTCTGACCTCCGAGGGCATTGCAGGACACGGTGCACTTACATACATGCAGGCATAACATTCATACACATAAAAAAAAAGGTCTAGCTTTGCCACCTTTTCCATCCCTTGCTTTATGTTTTAGGTGGAAACAGGGTGTTGCTAAAATGCCCAGGGTGGTCTTGAGCCTTCAATTCTCCTGCCTCAGACTTCCTAACAGATAGGATTACAGGCCTGCACCATCATGCCTGGCCCTATCTCCCTTGAATCTGAGATTCTCTAGCTTTAGCTTTCCAAGCACATGGATCACAGGAATGTTCCACTAAGGGTGGCTCTTTTTTAAGAGATGGGGGTCTCATACTGACTATAGTTCAAGCTGGCCTTGAACTCAAAGGCAATTCTCTCAGTCTCCTGAGTCCTAGGATTACAGGTATAAACTACCACATCCAGCCTGCCACTTAAACTTTTTATAAAATCAGACTGTTTCATGATTTAGAATAGGTCCAACAAATATCTTCATTTTCTGTTCATAGCTTTGAAAATTCTGTTATAGGAGCAAGGTATAGTGGAACCTTCCTGCAATCCCAAGACTCTAGGAGGCTGAAGCAAGAAATCTTGAATCCAAGGTCAGCCTGAGCAAGATCCTGCTTCAGAACAAAACGAAACAAAACAGCTAGTGTGCATGGTGAATTTCCAATCTGTAGTAGGGGTACATAGCATTTTCTTATAATGAAAACTCTCTCTGAGTACATAGTGAGACAAAGAGTCTTTAAAAATTTTTGTTATTTTATCTTACATATATGAGTGTATTGCTTGCATATATGTAAGTACGCCCATGCCCTGCAATGCCTGTGGAGGTCAGAAGAGGGTGTCAGATCCCCTGGAACTGGAGCTACGGACTATTGTTAGCCACCATGTGGGTGCTGAGAATCAAACCTGGGTCCTCTGGAAGAGCAGTCAACGCTCTTAACTGCTCTCCAGTCCTGAGACAAAGGTTTAAAGGGGAGCACTTTGGGAAATGTAGGTGCCAACTGAGGATGTAGTGAAGGAGACAGGGGTAGCACTTTGCAATTTACAAATGCTTTCTCCTCCTTTATTTCATTTAACTCTTCGCAGCCTGAGTTAATGGCAATTCTAGGAAGCTGGACCTGAACTAAAGTGTAGACTGTTTTGATTCTCCATCTCTAGAAATTCTAATATATTACAGTCCTTGGTACTTTGTACCGATCAATTGCAAGGAGAACACTGGAAGTTGCTAACCACACCCTTTATTACTGTGCAACACTAGCATAATTTCTTGAAAATCAATCTTGGAATGAATGGCAGTGTATACTCAAAGCATAGCATTAGGGCCCCACTCCAACATGAAGAGGCTGTGCCATTCTGAGTGTAACCCCCTTCACCAACTTGCCACTTTCCTGCTGTCTCTAAGGCAGTGCTATCACTTGGAAAAAGACAGGTGCAGAACACTGTGTAGTAGCACACCACTGCTTTCTCCATTAAAAAACAGCAAGTAAAGGGCTGGAGAGATGGCTCAGCGGTTAAGAGCACTGACTGCACAGGTGCCTGGGCCCCTTCTCATACAAAACTACAGCAATGTTGTCAGCATGCACAAGACCCATGCAAACTTAGGGAGACAAAAACCCAGCACAGAACTGTGGAAATGAGCAGCAAGCCCCAATCTTGGTCAAAGAATTATTGGCAGCTGATTACGGCTGGTGAGGAAGAGCTGATTTTCTTGAAGGGGAGGAGAGACTCTAGCTAGATAGGCTGACTAAACCCTGGTGGATCAACTTGCACTGAGGGACATCTCGGGACATTAACTTTACATAATAGGCTTTAAGACAAATGACAGAATGTATGAACTCCAGTTGGGGGCGGTGTCCATGGATGGTGCCAAAGAGGATTTTATGTATGAAATATACAAAAATTCAATAATTTTTTTTTAAAAAAGAGTACTGACTGCTCTGGCAGAGGATCTGGGTTTGATTCCCAGCACCCACATGGTGGCTAACAACTGTCCTTAACTCCAGTTCCAGGTAATCCAATGCCCTCTTCTGACCTTTGTGGGCATTGCACAAGATGGGTACACTCATACACATGCAGGCAATATATTCATACACATAAAATAAAAATAATAAATAAAAAACAAGTAAAAACCATCTATATACAAATAAAACTCTAAATCAACAATAAACAAACTTATTTCTGGGTAGATACGGGAGTAAATGGAGCAGAAGGGGGATGGAGGGGGCAACACTTGTCACTATGTATCTTCTATACTTTTAATTTTTGAATTCTACAAATTGTATTACCTCTTCATTATTTTCCTAACAACTCCCTTCATCCTGAAGCCATACTTTACACCTGATCTCTTTTTCATGCGGAAGAGAAGCATCCTAGAAAGAGAATGGTAGTGACTTCAAAAACATCATCAGAAAAGAGAGCTTCATTCCTTAACAAGTGACTATGTGCTTAGCTTAATTTTTAGCTATGGTGGCAAGTGATGTTAATTTTGATGAACTTTAATTAGCTCAACTTCTCAACATAAATGATACTATCATTTCTGTATTTTTAGAAAGCACAGAGGAGCATAGATAGGACTCTTATATATCCGTTCATGGTTTAGGTTCTTTGACTATTTTTCTTTTTTGAGACAGGGTCTTCCTGTAGCTCCAGCTGGCCTGGAAAGTGCCATGTAGACCAGGCTGGCCTGGAATTCACAGAGCTCCACCTGCCTCTGTCTCCCAAGTGCTGGGACTAAGTGCATGCACCACCATGCCTGGCTTGACTATTTTTCTTTAAGACAGGTCACTCCAGTAGAGACTCCATACCAATGGCGTACAGAAAAATAGGCTGGCTGCTCTGAAGCAGTTGTTCATATAGTAAAAAATGGAGACTTTAGGGATCAATTTGAATTTTGTTACAAGCATAACTGCTATCCCTCCTCATCCCCATCATTTGCTATCAGCATCATTTCATCTACAAAATGATTTCAACACCATTGAAGTGGGAAGAATACCCCATGAAAGAAGAGCTGGCAACATTATACCTGCCCAACTTGAGAGAGGAGATGGGAAGAAAGGGGAGGGGAGAGAAGAGGAGGGGTCAATGTTTGGGAAACTTGGCTTTAAAATATTCCCCAGAGCCTTCAACTCAGTCATGAGTTACTTGCTGAAGTTCTAGTCTTTAAATAATAACATACTATATTTTCATAGGATTTCACTATATGGCTGTTGTGGCTGGCCTAGAACTCACTATGTTGACCAGGTTGGCCTCAATTTCACAGAGATCTGCCTACCTTTGTCTCCTGAGTGCTAGGATTAAAGGCATGTGCCATCATGCCCTGCTAAGTGTTTTTTTTTAAACTAAGGGATAAGAGGGCTGGGGTTCTAAGTCAGCAGTGGAGTGCTTGCCTAGCATATGCTAGGCAATGGGCTCAATCTTTAGCACCACAACACAAGAAAACTAAGGGCTACAGTCAGACTTTTTTTTTTTTGAGATAGGATCTCATGCAGTCCAGGACAGCCTCAAACTTCATATATAGCTGATTCTGGCCTTGAACTCCTGATCCTCCTGCTCTCATTTCCCAAATGCTGGGATCATAAACATGTGCCACCATGTCCAGCTCTTTGTAGTTAGAGGTTTAGCACTAAAATTTAAGAACCAGCCATGTTGTGAATACAATAAGCAGAAGAAAAATGACTATAGAGCTATTGTGTGGCTTTTCTCCCTGTCTGCCCACTAAATTAAAATGACTTTAGCTTGCATTCAGGCTTGAACTGTTCATTCAAGTAGGTTGGAGGTTGTAAAATCTTTAAGGTGTCCAACCTCTCCTTTCAAGGTTTGGTTTGATTTTATTGTACTCACCTTCCAGTCACCAAACACATGTTCAATGGGAGCAAAGGCTGATGGCTCCCTCTCCATGGGGAAAACCATCTGCTCTGCTTGCCGGTTCTTCTCCACAACAGGATCCCATTTGGAGAGGGTTTGTAAGGTTTTATTGAATGCTACTTCTCTGTGGATCTAAAGCAGGCAAAGAACACGACAGGGAAGAGCCATGAAATGACACAATGAACTCAAAGGAATAAGAAGAAATTATGAGGCAATATTTCTTTCTTTCTTTTTTTTTTTTAAAGACAAGTCTTCCTATAGCCCCAGCTGGCCTGGAGCTCACTGTTTAGAACAGGGTGGCCTTGAACTCAGAGAGATCCACCTGCCTCTGCCTCTGCCTCCCAAGTGCTGGGATTAAAGGCGTGTGCCACCACGACCAGTGAGGCAATGTTCGTTCGAAAAAGAACCAGAACCCTAGAGGTGGATTCTTGTTTACTTCTCAAAACTTCAACTGCTCCTATCTTTTTATTTTTCCTTCTCAATTCAAGTTCTTCCCTTTAATGTAGCACTTTCTAGAAAGCTTACCTGTTTGACTTCTTCTTTGTTAAGGGGTAATTCTAGAGTCTTTTTTGATTTCACTCTATTCAGTTGCTTTTTCACAACAACCAGTGAAGATGAAGGTTTATCGGGTCCAAGCAGATCGGAAAGGACCAATTTTTCTCCTGATCCTGTGGAAAGGCCAAATTTTCTGGTCAGATTCAGAAGTGAGACAGAAATCTCAATATAATTTAGGGAGTGAGCTCAGTAGAATATTTCATAGGCTGCAGCTGTGCAGGGAAGCAGGAATGATTCTCTTACTTCAATCCTTTATCTCTAGTTATAGTGACACCACCAATCTTGAACATTACATTTTCAAATGTGTTGGGGGTGTAGATGAGGAGAAAAATATTCAAAAAGGCAGTTATTTCTTTTTCTCCTGAACTTTTATGTCTTGCTCAAAGATCTTCAGTGCAGTTTCATTATACCTAGAATCTCACCAGACTCAAGGACATAACCCTATGGGATTTGGTCCTCACCTGCCTCTCTAATATCATTCTCCTGTATTCTACTTATACAAGCCTGCTTCTAAGTTTTCCCAACACACTGCTTTCTACCAGCTGTTCCCTTGACTAGAATGCTTTCTCCCATCTTTGCATGGTTGACTTTCCTTGTCCTTTGATATTGTCTCTTTTACAGATATTTTATGACCAATCTAAAGTATTAACTTAGTCACTTGATTGCATCATCTCGTTTTTTGTTGTTGCTTCGTTTTTAAGACAGAGTCTCATGTAGAAGAGGACAGCCTCGAACTTGATGTGTAGCTAAGGATGGCTTTAATTCTTGATCTTCTTGTCTCTGTCTCCTAAGTGCTAGGATTATAGGCATTGACCACCATGCCCAGCTGCACCATCCTATTTTTTCCCTTGGTCTTTTTGAAACAGGGTTTTTCTGTAGCCCCAGTCGGCCTGGAACTTGCTATGTAGACCAGGCTGGCCTCAGATTGCAGAAATGCCCCTGCCTCCCAATTGCTGGGATTAAAGGTGTGTGCTACCACACTTGGCTTCCGTTTTTTAAAAAATATTTATTTATTTTATGTGTATGCATGTGTTGCCTTCATGTATGTAAGTGAACTTATGTTGTGTAATGCCTGCAGACATCAGAGGAGGGTGTCAGATTCCCTGAAACTTGAGTTACTAATGGTTGTTAGCCACTATGTGGGTACTGGGAACTGAAACTTGGGACCTATGCAAGGGCAATCAGGGTTCTTAACAGCTAAGTGATCCCTCCAGCCCCTGAATCATCCATCCTGTTTTAATTTTTACTGTTCTTTCACCTTCTGTACTAGAATACAGGACCCATGTGATCATGCCTTACTCTTCATTGTAACCTTAGTAGCTAGAATATCACTTACTACTGACAGAGCTACACTGGTTGAAGCACAATAAATACCAGTGGAATCAAGAAGCTTAGAATACTGTTACTTGCCCTGAGACGTTCCATTGGTGAGAACTACAAGCATAAAACTCATGCAAGAGGGGCTAGAGAGAAGGTTCAACAGTTAAAAGCACTGGCTGCTCTCGCAGAGGACCCAGGTTCGATTCCTAGCACCTACATGGCAGCTAACAACTGTCCATAACTCCAGTTCCAGGGGGATCCGATGCCCTCTTCTGGCTTCCATGGGCATTGCAAGACATGATGCACTTACATGAAGCAATACACTCATACATAAAATAACAAATAAGGGCCAGGCATGGTGGTGCATGCCTTTAACCCCAGCAACTGGGAGGCAGAGTCACGCAGATCTCTGAGGTCAAGGCCAGCCTGGTCTATATATCGAGTTCCAGGCCAGCTGGGGCTACAGGGAGACCTGGTCTCAAAAAGACTGATAAATAAAATATTAAAAAAAAGAAAACTCGTACAAGTGGCCTACATTTTGAATATGGTGAAAAAGTTTGATATTTAGACACAGTAACTCCACCAGTCACTGGATTTTTTTAAATGAAAGATTTTATTTAAAAATCAAAAGTGCTAAAGGTCACATGAAGAGGAAGGTATGGTCAAAATCATTCTAGATGTTTTTTGAGACAAGGTCTCATTATGTCGCCCTGACTGGGCTGGAACTCACTATGTAGACTACGTTGGCCTCAGACTCACCTATACCTGTTTTTGCCTCTTGAGTGCTGAGACTAAAGGTACATGCCACCATGCTTAGAGATCACATATCTTTTTTTTTGTCTTTTTGAGACAGGGCCTCCCTGTAGCCCCAGCTGGCCTGGAACTATGTAGACCAGGCTGGCCTTGAACTCACAGAGATCCACCTGCCTCTGCCTCCCTTAATGAGCCACCACGCCTGGCTGAGATCATGTATCTTTTAACAGGAGTGTGATATTGTTATTTTACCCTCCACTTCCAACTTAAGGAATAGAAACCAGTTCTCGGGGTGGCAGGGATGTGGAATAAAACTTAAGATACCAGCACGTTTTTTGCCTCTCCAAGACTCAAAATGCATCCAACCAAATTGCATTCTTTAGGTATTAATTTCCTGGACAGAGAGGCAAGGAGGGTAAAACAATGCCTAACAAGTCCCCACAGCCCGGTCATGTGAGATCTGTTGCTATGTTCCCTCTCTGCCCAGACTTGAGAGTCTCTGCTTTGTCCTCTTACCCTGTGACATGCTGTTGTGGGGAGAACCAGAGTTAAGCTGCTGATGTCTGGGAAGCCAGACATGAAAAACCAACTTCCAGTGGATCAAAGAGCACAACATACAACCTGAAGCTCTGAACTACTAGAGGAAAAGGTCACTGCTGCTCCCAGCCTCAAGCAGCCATGGAGGGAAACGTCCTTCTGTAATGCATGCTGCACTACAGGCTCTAACGAGTGGTGAAACTCCTGCAAACGAGTGACTGTTGCTTTGCCACAGTAGCCCAATGCTTAGCCGTAGACAAACATCTACATCACCCACTTCAAGGCACAGGGAATTGGATAGCAGTTTCCTCCAAATTAAAATCTTCCCTCCAGGAGGGGTAAACAAGCTTCACATGCCTGAGAAAGTTGAAACTTGCAAGATTCTCCAAGGCCCTCCCCAGCTTTTTAGAAGCAGGCAACTGCTGTGGGAGGAGACTGACTAGCTCAGGTGCAGAGAGATTTTCTTAGACTTGTCTAGCTGCTGGCAAGTCCTTCAGAGAGCTCCAGGGATGCCGCTTTCCCAACTTCTTACCCATGTTCGGATGTTGGGCTTTTCGGTGATGGTATGGTAACCCCTTACCCATACTCCTGATAGTAAGCACAATATAAACCCATTGGTTCACTAAAAACAAACCATCAAGATCTAACAAGTTCCCCCAAAGAAAACAAGGCCAAGGAACGCTGTCCTGGTGAAAACTCTTGTATATATAACTTGACTGTCTCAAATTCCAGCTGAGTATCTGCCTGTCCAAAGTCAATGACAGAACTGAACTACAAATGAACTTGTGGATATGAAAAGCTATACAAATATAGCTTAGCCACTTAGCTAAGCTAGCAAGAGGAAGCTACTTTCACTCACGTCACTTTTATGCAGTAAGTACCTCACTGAACCTCACAGGAGATACTGATCTTACCTTTCAACTGGCACCCTTCTTAATCCATTCTCACAAGTAACCATTTATGGTATGCTACATCAGTCACACAACTTTCACGCCTTGATACACTGTTAAACTTACCTTCTGAACTGACATTAAACTCTGATACATTCAGACTAGCCTCAGATCTCTCAGGCAATTTCCACCTGAAATTAGGAAAAATAATAAACTAGAAATGGATACATTTAGATGAAGAGATAAACACCTTTTTAAAAATTTATTTATTTATACATACATAGTATCCCTGTAGTCCCAGCTGGCCTGGAACTTGCTTTGTAGATCAGGCTGGTCTCCATCTCACAGAGATCCCCCTGCCCCTGCCTCCTAAGTGCTGGGATTAAAGGTGTGTGCCACCATGCCTGGCTTTATTATTTTTTTTAAGGTACTACAATCCAAGGTCTCATATATGTCAGACAAGTGCTCTATCCTTAAGTATAATACTTCTCTCTTCAAAGGCAACTTTTGTTACTTTTTTTTCCCTTTCCCTATCGGTCACTTTTGTTACGAAGTAACTGATCCAACTGTTCCTAACCTAGACTTGGTAGACTAATATACCCAGTCTTTCTGAGACAGGGTCTCCCTGTAGCCCCAGCTGGTCTGGAACTCACTGTGTAGACCAGGCTGGCCTTGAACTCACAGAGATCCGCCTGCCTCTGCCTCCCAAGTGCTGGGATTAAAGGCGTGTGCCACCACGCCTGGCTTACCATATCTTTTTGTGTAGACTCAGTCCCTCAAAAGCAACATAGTACAAGGTAGGCATAATGGAAAAGATGCTGAAGTTGGATTGGAGCACACATGAACTGGAATCCAGTATCTGCTACTTAGGAGCTAGGTGACCATGGAGATAATTGAATTAACTTCTCTAACAGGGATGTGTGCTCAATGCTTCACAAGATTGTAGGTATGAATTAAATAAGGATTGCAATGTGTGAAGATCTAATACAAGGACAGCAATAAGGATAATAGCTAAAAATAATCATATAGTACCTAGTATGCTAGGCACATGTGCTAGGATCTTTACATGAGGCACTCAATAATTGTTAGTAAAAGTTACATAGAAACAGCCAGTTATAGGGCCAGCAAGATGCCTCAGCAGGTAAACACAGTTTACCAAACCCAACTATCTGAGTTCTACCCCTGGAATCCACATGGTGGAAGAAGTGACACTTACAAGCTGTCCTTTGATCTCCACAAGCACACAGTGGCATGTGTATACCCCCCTTCTTACACATAAATTTTAAAAATACTGAAAAAAGTGTCACCTATTTTTTCCATTAAGGGAACTGATTGCTTCCAGAAGTTTTTGATGCTTTCTCTCCCCATCACTGTCCCCCTAGAAAGAGAAAACGAAAAAAAAAAAATCACTGGAACAATAGGAGGAAGAAAAAGACAACTTGGAAGCAGGCCCAGGTAAAATCTCTGCTTCTTCTGGCTGGTAGAGAACTGGGGAATCAGATGAGGTATCGTATGTAGACACTCTTAACTCAAGTTGAAGGAACACTTTCAGAATTCAAAGTCCATCTTTATAAAGAACATAGATCCTCAATAACTTGGAAGCTAATGTCATGGCTCTGCCCTAACTTATTTTGGGAAAAGGACCTAAAATAGCCTACTCTGGCCTCAAACTTGAGGTCCTCCTGCCTCATCCTCCTGAGTGCTAGGATTACAAGTCTGGACCACCATGCCTGGATTTTCTTTGCTATTACAATAAGTACTCTGTTGGCACCCAAGGGTTAGAGTTTCAGCTGCCCCCCATATGTGTGTGTATACACATATGTGTATTTTACTCAAATAATAAACAGCTTCTAAAGAAATCTAGACTTAGGAAATCATATAACAAGGACCACGGGCTTTGGTCTTATAAACTATATTTAAACTTCAAAATAGTAATTCTAATTCACATAGGCTTCCAATTCCCATGGCACTTAATACAGTTCTGGAAGAAATCCTTGCCAATCCTTGACTTTCCAAGAATGTGTTGTTGACCCTAATTTTGAGGTCAGTTCATCAGTTGTCACCCACCTCATCTTCACTGGCACTCAAAGGGTAGTTGTTTGACAAATCCACTAGTTCTTCCTGATGGCTCAAAGCCAGAAGGCTGTTTAAAAAAGGCAACAAAGAAACATTATCATTTGAAATAACGTTTCTTCTACTAAAACAACATGTCAATTTTGAGTAGCCTTACCCCTAGGAAGAAGTACAAAAAAGCAACAGGACTGTAGAGATGGCTCAGTGGTTAAAAGCACTGGTTGCTCTCGCAGAGGACCAGGGTTTGAATCCCAGCACCCACAAGGTGACCAACAGCCATTGGTAACTCCAGTTCCAGGGGAATACAATGCCCTTTCCTCAGCTCCGTGAGCATTACCCAACAGGGGCACACTTACATACATGCAACACATGCAACTTACATACATGCAACACATGCAACTTACATACATGCAAGCAACACATATTCATACACATAAAAATAAGAGTAATAAATATTTAAAAAAAAGCAAAAGTATGATGCTTTCAGAAATTTGTGAAGGTATTACATTTAGACCCAAGTCATGTATCACCTCCAAGCTAAGCCGTAATGGCTGACAGCATAGAAAATGGCAAGCAGAAGACATAACAGTTTTTAGTGATTAGCATTGCAATTCCCACTGACGATGCTGGACCCTGAATCAAGGAAGTTTTGCGATTGATATTTCTATGTATTCTATTAATATTTCTATGCATCCTCCACCTGTTAGGTGCAGCCTATTAAAAAATGTGATCTTGATCATTTGTTCCCATAACTAGGGATATACAAGATTGACTGAAACTAATCAAGTAACTCATTTTTCCCTGGGGCTTGCTCCACAAAGTAGGTGCTTAACTAAGGAGGCTGGTACCCAGAAAGAAATTAAGAGTGAACCACTTAACAGTGCATCTCAGGTATTTACAAGACAAACATCCCAAAATGGACTACAGTGAGTTTTTCTATCGGGGAGAGGGACACATGAAACATTAGAGGGGTGGAAATGTTGTGGATGACTCCACACAACTCCTGCACTGCCAGGGTCGAGCATGGAAGAGGCAGAAAAAAAAGGGGGGGAATCACGTGACAAAGAAAGTGAAACGCATTTCGCCAAGGGACAATCATCAGAATTAACACCGATGTAACTAAAATGCTGAGAAGCAGAAGTAAAATCAAATTAAATTAAAGGGGCTTTAAAGGATGAATCTCAGGTACTGGAACTACTGGCAGGGTCTTAGGAGGCGAGCTACAGCTGTTTGTTAGAAGGCGGCTTCCACGTCCCCAAATCCGGGAAACTCAGCGCCCCCCCAACCCTGAATTCCCTTTCCCTTTTACTCCTTACTCTTCCGCAGCCTTGGTCACCTTCATTGCCGCAGCCTACTATCCCTGACACATGGGTCAAGAGCGGAAGCTGAAAAGAGAACAAGTTCCTGGCCGGTCGCAAAGCAATTTCTGTTTCCGCCAATCCCGAGCAACAAGGCGCGTCATTTCCTTTCGGAGAGAGGCTTGTGAGAAACTAGAATCGAGGGCGGAAAACTGAGAAGCTGGAGATGAATGGCCAGTCTGTGGGCGGGACCTTGCTTGCCCCACCCTCCTCGTAGCTCTCTAGCACGCCCGCGGTGGTCCTCCAGCCCCCAGGTTGCCTTGCGGGCCAAAATGGGCGAGGGTGAAGGCTACGCTGCTGTTGCTGTCAGGGATGGAACCTGAGCCCCCGTTTCTGCAGCAACTAAAAAGCAAAGCCTCCAGCGCCAGTCCCTTTGGGACAGTGTCACACAAAGTCATCACTGACCAGCCCAAGGCCGTGTTGAACTCGTGCATAATGGCCAGCACTGTGGTACAGGGACCTAGGTGACCAGACCAAGAACATGCCAAGTTTCCTCCCATCTTAAGGAACAAACCCTTTTGATCCCATGCCCCTTATAATTGCAGTTTCACTGCCCCTCTACCTATATAACAAAATGCCATTTTGTGGTGACACACGTCTTTAATTCCAGGCAGAGACAGGCAGATCTCTGTGAGTTTGAGGCTAGCCTGGTCCACATAACCAATTGCCGGCCAGCCAGGGCTACATAGTGAGAACCTATCTCAAAAGAGAAGTTATTTGTCTGGGCCTGGTGGCGCGTGCTTTTAATCCTAACACTAGGGAGGCAGAAGGAGGTGGGTCTCTGTAAAATTAAGGACAACCTGTTCAAGTTCCAGGTCCTAAAACTAGGCTTGCCTTGAATTGATGATCCTTTTGCCTCAGCCTCCAAACTACTGGGATTACAGGTTTGTGCCACAATGCATGGCACAAGAATTTCCTTCTCTCTCTCTCTCTCTCTCTCTCTCTCTCTCTCTTTCTCTCTCTCTTTCTTCCTAACATCTATTAGCATGTGCACGCATGCATGCGTGTGTGTGTGTGTGTGTGTGTGTGTGTGTGTGTTTGCATATTGCTATATACATGTGGAAATCTGAGGACAGTTTGGGGGACTTGATTCTGTCCTTCCACCATGTGGCTTAGGGGATTGAATTTAGGTTATCTGGCTTGGGGCAACTTCCTTTACCCACTGAGCCATTTTGCCATCCCAAGAATTCTTGCATGAAAACATTGTCATTTTTGTTGTTTCCATTTTGTTTTCCCCAGCTGTTTCACTGAAATTTCTCTGAACCCAAAGATTAGTGACACTATAAAATTCTTAAGTAAAACTGATATTTCTTAGCCTTTGTGCTCCCAGAATTTGATGTGGCATTTGTTTTTTGTTTTTTGTTTTTTCCTTATTATTCATTCAGTAAATGTTTTTGACCATTGACCATGTGCCAAGTTTCTAGGATTTGGAGATACATTGGTGAACAAAGCAGATATGTTCCATGACTTCATAGATGCTACTACATTCCAATGGGATTAGAGACATTTTCATCATTGTTAAAACTCCAATGTGGTGGCTGGAGAGATGGCTCAGAGATTTAAGATCACTGACTGCTCTTGCAGAAGACCTGGGTTCAGTTCCCAGACCCCACATAATGGCTAACAACTGTCTGTAGCTCCAGTTCCAAAGGATCTGATGCCCTCTTCTGGCCTCCACGGGTATTGCACACATGGATACACATGCAAGCAGGCAAAAATACTTATACACATAAAATAAAAATAAATAAAACTAAAAAACCCCCCTCTATCCTGTAGTTCCATGACCACTCTCCCCTGGTATCAGCTTTATTATCATCTTCAATTTTCTCTGATGAATATTTCTAATATACTTACTTCCTAATGATGGTATCCCCTGGGAATCTACTCTCAGCCCTCTTTGTTTATTCCACATGTTCTTCCTGAGTGAAATTGCCTTTAATACCAGTATGTAAACCCTATAAGCTACACATCTAGTCTAGATCTCTTTCTTGAACTCTAGTGTCTGTGGTTACCTCTTGGCTAATTTTTTTTGTCCCACAAGTATAATCAAAATGACCAGCAATTTCTGTCTTTTCTACCAGAATTCTCTTGCCTTTTTCATTTCTGCGATTGGTCAATGAACTCTCCAATCGAGTCATATGTTTGAGAGTCATCTTAGATTCATCTCTTCCTTATGTCTCATAGTTATTCCCACACACCATCAATTTTACTTCCTGATTCTCTCAAACGTCTCCCCACTTTTCTGTCATTATTGCCACTGTATTAGTTTAGACCCCTGCATTTTTAGGCCTGACTGATCTTGCAGAGGCCCTGGGTTCAATTCCCAGCACCCACATGGTGGCAAAAAACTGTAACTCCAGCTCCAGGGGATCTGATGCCCTCTTCTGACCTCTGTAGGCATTGTACAACACACACGCAGGCAATAAAATAAAATAAATAAAAATATAATAAATAAGAAAGAAAATAAAGATGGAATAGTGTAACATTTTGACAAATGCTGGGATGATAGGCCTGTGCCACCACATCTGACTTATGTAGTGGTGAGGCTTGAACCCTAGGCCTAGTGTATACTAGGAAATTGCTCTAAAAAGTGGGCCACATCACCAGATTTTGTTCAGTGTTTTTTTTTTTAATTTTTATTTATTTTTATTTTTATTTTATGTGTATGTGTGCAATACCTACATGTAGGTAAGTGTACCTGTGTTGTGCAATGCCCACGGAGGTCAGAAGAGGCTGTGGGTTCCCTGGGACTGGAGTTATGGACAGTTGTTAGCTGCCATGTGGGTGCTGGGATTCGAACCCGGGTCTTCTGTAAGAACAACCAGTGTTCTTAACTGCTCAGCCATCTCTCCAGCCCCTGTTCTGTTTTTTTTTTTAAAAGACAGGGCTTCATATTGTAGGTCAGGCTGGTCTTGACTCAGTGGTTAGCCCAATCTGGCCTCAAACCCATGCAGGCATCTTGCTTCATCATCCTGAGCACTGGAATTATAGGGGTAGGCCACCGTACCTGGCTTAATAATGCTTTAGGAGCATTCATGTACAAACATGCCTTAGGGTTTGTTCTCAGTTTTTTTCAGTATTGATGGGCCACATGGCAACTCTATGTTTAGTCATTTGAGGACATGCCAAACTATTTTCTGAATCCGCTGTATCATTTTCCATTCCCACCATTATGTATGAGGACTCCAATCACCTTCATTCTTGAAGGATTTTTTTTTTAAGATATGAACCTCTGAATTTTTCTGTTTTTCTTCTCTTCAGTACTTTAAAGATGTCATCGCACTGTCTTTTGGCCTTTAGCTTCTTTTCATTGTGATAAAATATACAAAACCCCAAATTTGCTATTTTACTCATTAAGTGTATAGTTCTGTGACCTTAAGAACATTGATCTTGTGCAAGCGTCACCACCATCCATGCCCAGAACGTTTTCATTTTCTCCAGTTGTATGACTTGTATAGTTCCTTATGAGAACTTGCTGTGCAAGTTGCCATTCCCTTATGTCATTTTTCTCTCAATGTTTTAAAGACTTCCTCTCTATTGCTGATATCAGTGGTTTGACTACAATGCAACTAAGAAGTTTTAATTCTGTTAGAGTTTACTTCTTTTTTAAAAAATCTTTTATTTGTTATTTTTATTTTATGCATATGACTGTTTTGCCTGCATGTATGTAAGTGCACTATGTTGGTGCAATGCCCTGCAGAGGCCAGAATAGGGTGTTGGATACCCTACAACTGTAGTTATGGATGGTTGTTATCTGCCATGTGGGTGCTGGGACTCGAACCCCGGTCCTCTGGAAGAACAGCAAGTGTTCTTAACCACTGATACATCTCTCCAGCCCTGAGTTTATTTACTTCTTAACCCTTGACATATATGTCATCAAATTTAGGAAATTGTCAGTATTTCTTCAAATTATATTTCTTCCATCATTTCCTATTGAATTGCCTTCACATCTTTGCTGTATATAATGGGCACATGAGAATGTAGACTTATTTCTGTACTATATTCAGCTCCATTGATCCATTTGTTTGTCACTGTACCATAACTGTGCTGGATGTTTTTGGTAAAAGCTTTACAACTATGCTTTTTTCTCTCTCTCTTTTTGAGACAGGGTCTCCCTGTAGTCCCAGCTGGCCCGGAACTCACTATGTAGACCAGGCCGGCCTTGAACTCACAGAGATCTGCCTGCCTCTGCCTCCAAAGTGCTGGGATTAAAGGCGTACACCACCACGCCCAGCCTACAACTATGCTTTTTTATTTGTTTTCTGAGACAGGATATTACTATGTATCATCAGCTGGTCTTAAATTCACAATCCTCCTGTCTCAGCCTCCTTAATGTTGGGATAATAGCATGTATCACCATGCCTAACTATGCTATTTTGATATTTATGTGTTTATAATTTTGCAATAGGTCTTGAAATGAGAGTATTTTCTTGGTTTATTAGATATATCTTTTTAATTTTTTTGTCTTTTTTAAGACAGGGTCTCTGTAGCCCCAGATGGCCTGGAACTCACTATGTAGTCCAGGCTGGCCTCGGATCTCCCTGCCTCTGCCTCCCAAGTGCTGGAATTAAAGGCATGCACCACCACGCCCGGCATCTTTTTAATTTGTTGAGAATTTCATACATGAATATTGTATTTGTATTATTTACACCCCAACTAGTCCCCCTCCAACTCCTCCCATGTCCCCTCAATTCCTCATAATTCCTTGTCCTCTACTTTGATTATTACTGTTAAAATGCCGTATATAAAAATTGTAACAATTATATATCTATACATATATTACTGCTACAATTATATATATATATATATTTCTATAATGTGAAGCTCCTTCAGAAAGCACTGGGTAAGATTCAAAGATATATATGTGGTGGACCCATTTAGTGGTGCTTGTATGTATGTGTGTTCAGGGCTGGCTACTTGGGATTATATAACCTCTCAGGGAGCTAGTCACTGTATTCTAAATGCTATCCTTATATTCACAGGGAAGTGTAGCTCTTACCACTCATCAAACAGGCTTCTTTTTGTAACAGATGGAGACTATTACAAAGTTGAACTGGTCGAAATGCAGAGAATAAATGTGAGTGGCCTAGTTGCCTAACTGATATAT